GGCCAGGGTGAGGTTGACACCAGACCCCAGCGTGTCAGTGTCTGACCTGATGAAGGCCTTTGAGACCTTTTTCAACCATGAGGGTATGTGGGACTTGAGGAAGCTCTTGCTAGAGCATGGAAGGTGCCCAAAGTCATGGAAGACCAGCCCTGATGCTTCGTACCTGTCAGGGCACATGGCTGCTCTTTGCACCCAATTGTTCAGGGTGTGCCCAAATGGAGTTCTGTCTTCCAAGAAGATCAAGCAAAGCCTAGAAAAGCTTCAAACAGAAAAAAAGAAGCGCCTCAACCACTCCAGCACTTGTGACCCTGACTTTTGGGACTCTGTTGACCAGACTGTGCGCATCGCAGCCGCCCAGTTCAGGGACTTGAAGGGTTCAGCAAACAAGTATGCTGCCTGCATAAGAAAGGCTTCTGCATCTGAGAAGAAGGCCATTGATGCAGTTTTGGACTGCCTGGAATTGAAAAAGGTGGAAGGGCAAGAGGAACAGAAAGGCAGCACAGAGAGCTTGGAGGCAGAAGAAGAGGAATCGAAGAAGAAGGGCTTGGAGGCCTTGGAGGATCAAAGCCCAAAAGGTGACAAGAGGCCTATTTTGGCACCAAAGATTTTTGCAAAAGTCTTGCAAAAGCGGGCCAGTGATGCTTCCACTCCTGAAAAAAAGGGTGAGAAAGAAGCAAGCTGCAAGCTCTTGGAATGCTGTGGCAGTTGCAGGCTCTGCACCTGCTGAAAGTGAAGAGTTGAAGACTTGGCTTGAGCAAAAGGCAGTTCTGGTGTCAAAGCCCAGGAACAAAAAGGCTTGGAAAAAGCCTGAAGCCAACATTTCAGGCAAGGCCAACTCCGACAGCCCAAAGGTCAACAAAAAGCCAGCTGTGAAAGCTGTGAAAGGGGCACAGAAGAAGAAGAAGTCGACCTTCAAGCATCGCAAAACTTCGACAGCTTACCACCAAGCTGTCAATGCTGCTAAGAATTCTGGAATGGATGCCGATGAAGCCAAGGAGATGGGCAGGCAGGCAGCACGAAAGATGGCAGCTGACATCGACAGTGGCCTGGTGACAGAAGCCAAGTGATCTGCGCCTTCGATGGAAAAGCAAGAGCCATATGCATGCTTTGCAGGAGTTGCTTTTGCGTGGGTTGCTTGCGCATGGGTTACTTTTGCTTGTGTTACTTCTGCAACGGCTGTCGCTTGTGGAGTTACTTGTGCAGGGGTTACTTTTGCTTTTGCATGAGTCACTTGGCCCATTTCAATGTTCTGTGCTTTGGCAGCTCAAGCACACTCATGTGCAACACAAGTGTCAAAAGCAACAAATATAAAGAGCAACACTACAACAGTACACTACACAAATGTAAAGCAACAAATATAGAACAATGAACTTGACCACTCAACAAAAGAGCAACACTACACATATGTGGCACCATGCAATATGAACCTTGACACTGAAGTCAACACTGAAACATGAACATTGAGACTACAATGGGTTCCAAACAAGCACAACAAAAGCAATGCCTAGCAGAGTTTGGCCCAATGGGAGGCTCTATGTGAGGAACCTGCCTGGTTGGTGGAGGTGGAATGATGTGGAAGCCTGGGTGCTCTCCTTGGACATCCCGAAACCTGCTTGGCGCAAGGCGTTTGAAGGGGAGGACTTGTCGAGTAGCTACATTCACTGGCGCAATGTCACTGAAGACCCATGAACAGTATGTGCATGGGGCGCACAAGAAGGTCATTGCAAGAGGGTCTTTGGACTATGGGCCCCAGGGAAGGCTAGCTCTTTCGGGTCCTCCTCTTCCTCCTCCTCCTCCCCCCTCCACCACCTCCTGAAGAAGCAGAAGAAGGCCAAGAGGCAAAGCGCAGAAAGACTGAGGAGAAGCAGGAGCCTGCAGAGGAAGAAGAGGTACAGGAGGAAGAGGACAATGAAGAGATGGCATGGTACAGGGAAGCTGCAAAAGAGGAGGTTGGAGAAGAAGCGCAAGAAGGTGAGGAGACAGAAGAGGCAGAAGAAGAAGCAAAAGAAGGTGAGGAGACCCAAGAAGGTGAGACCACCGCAACTTGGCTTTCAACAGTATTCTTCTGAGGGAGTTACTTGTGCAAGGGTTGCTATGGGTTATTGTTGCTGGTGTTGCTTGTGCTTGAATTGCTTTTGCTTCTGCTGGTGCCTTCTCTGTCCTGAGCCTTTTGTATGTTGCAGCTCTGGCCCAACATTGTTGCCAACATGGCTGGTCACATCGGGTCCTGTCGTGGCCAGGGCCGACAATGGCCTTACCATGGCTTCAGGAGGGGCATCAACCTAGCAGGCACATGCCCCTGCTGCTCCCTGCCTGTGGAATGCCCACTTTGCCTTGTAGCTGGGTTAGAACTCTGACTTAGCTGTTTGTTTGTCCTTCATGACTCTGAGTGACTCATGAGATACTTGTATGCTTACTTGTTTGTACTTCATCTCAGGCAGAGATCTCGACTGGGTTACTTGGTTGCATTTGGTGTTGCTTTTGCAAGGGTTACTTTGAGGTGTGTTCTTTGTGCCACGGTTACTTTTGTAGGATTCTGTCTGTTCCTGTGTGTGTGTGTTTACAGCTTTGTCCCTGCCATCCAAAGTGCAGCCCAGGAAAGCCCAACCAAAGTCGCCAATGTGGATGAGTGAAGGAGAATGGTGGTTCAATGTTCCTGAAAATGAGGATCTGGCAAAAGGTAGCAAGGGCAAAGGGAAATGGGTGGTGCCTGTCAAAGGCAAGGCTGCCAAAGGAAAGGGCAAGCAAAAGGGTAAGACCAAGCACCTTGGCTTCAGATATTATTTCTGCAGGTGTTACTTGTGGAAGTGCTACTGTTGCTGGAATTGTACTTCTGAAGAGCCCCTCTGTGTGGGAACTGTCTTTCTGAAGAATTTTTGTTTGATGGTTTTTGACTTTTTGCAGAACTGGAACAATTGCTAAGGGAAGGAAAAGCAAAGTCAAAAGCAGCCCCTGCACCTCACTCTCTCACTCACTCACTCACTCACTCACTCACTCACTC